CCCCAGCAGCCAATTTCTTACCCATCCAACTGTGTAAGCATCAATGCCTCAGTCGCTTAATTTATTGATGAGGATGGGGTGAGAGACAGTGTCAAAGGCCTTCTTAAAGTCTAGAAAGACTATGTCCACCGCGACACCATCATCCAAGGATTTAGTTACTTGGTCATAAAAGGCGATCAGGTTGGTGAGGCAGGACCTGCCTTTGCTGAACCCATGCTGGTTGCCCCTGAGCATGATCTCCCCTGCAGCCCCCCACACATGTGCTCCTTGATGATCCTCTCCAAGAGCTTCCCGAGTGCCGAGGTGAGGCTTATGGGCCTATAGTTATTTGGGTCCTGCTTCCTCTCTTTCTTGAAAACAGGGACCACATTAGCCAGTTTCCAATCCCCCGGCACCTGGCCAGATGACCACGAATGCTCATCCAGCTGGGCCAAGGGCTCCGCGATGACTCTTGCCAGCTCCCTCAACACCCTTGGGTGGAGGGCATCTGGACCTGCAGATTTAAAAATGTCCAGCCTTTCAGAAGATCCCGAACTACATCTGCACTGACTGAAGGCCTGACAGAGCTATCCCCGAGACTGTCCCTCCCTCTGGTAGGTGGGATGTCCCGGTCCCTGCTCAAGAAAACAGAGGCAAGGAAACTGTTAAAAACATCAGCTTCCTTGTCTGGCGTGGCCACAAGATTACTGTCTGCAAGGTGCTCTGGCGTAGCCACCAGATTACCGCTGTGCACGGGGGTAAATGTTTCCCTTCTCTGGCCCTGTCTGCACACGAGATCGCACCGGTGTGATTAGACCGGTCCAGACAGCCCCCGGGTGAACACCCCAGCACAAACCAGACCGTGCCTCCCACCCCACCCCATGTGCATGAACTGAAAAAGGAGTAAAAGTCATCTCTAACTGGCAAGGACCTGCAGCCTGGCGGGGCTCTTCTGGTGGAAGAAAGGGTAATCTCCCCCTGGGAATAAATCTGCTCTAATCTGGCAGAAGAAAAAGCATCTCCCACCAGACCCTCAGGCCAGCGGCTCCTGGAACCAGCCAGAGCCCGGAGCGAGCGCCCACCCGTGTCCGCCCGCGACGGTGCAAGCGAGCACAAGCGCGTGGCAACACTGCCATCTTGCGGCCCAGCCCCGGGCGTGCACTTCCGAAGGCCGGGCAAACCCTGTGTGAATGCTGGAAGTTCAGCTTTTCTTCCGCGTCTCTGGGCCCTGGCTATGACAACTGCAGAGGTTGCCCGCAAATTGCAAAGAAGGTTTTGCAGACGGGTAAACCCTAGTCACTCCAGTCACAGCAGGATCCCAACCTCCTGGCCTTTGCCCCCCTCAAGTCCTAGCTCTGGTCACGGAGGAGGACAGCACCCCTCCAAAGCACCCAGGGCAAGCCGCCCCAGAGCCGGCACCCTGGTGCAGCTGCTGCCCTGGCCCGTGGCCACTCAGCTGAGGCAGGGAGGAGTGCCTGCCCCACGGGACGCTGGCAGGGGGCACGCCATGCTGCTGGACCCCTTGGCTGCTTGGCACAAGCCAACACACCCCAGTCAGGAGACGTGGGCATCACGAGCGCTGCTTGCTGCTGGTTTGCCACGGAGGGAGCCAGCGGTGTTCAGCCAACACGCACTGTCACGGCACGCGGCCGATGGGGAGATGCATGGCTGTCGCTGCAACCATCCCGGCAGCGCAGCCCAGCCCTTCCTGCCCCAGCTCCGGAGAGCGGCAGGTACCCTGCAGGAAAGGCACTGCCCTGGCCCTGAAGAGCCTCTCTGGACATCCCACGCCCTGGCAGCCTGGCAGTCCAGGGGAGCTTCTCTCAGGAGCGCCGACGTCGGCTCAGCCCAGGCTGGAGGCTGCGACTGGGGCGAGCCCACGCTCCTGCAGGGACTAAATGCCCAGAGGGTCCTGGCTGGAGGGTCTCGCCCCTCTGCTCTGCGTCCAACCGATGCTGCACCGGGGGCAGGAAGGAACTTTACCTTTACACCCGTCACATTGGGGGGTGGGGGGCGGTTTGGCTTTCCTCTGCAGTGTGGCTTGGTCTCTAGCGCATTTTAACACCCCTCACTGCAGCAGGACCCCGACCGCCCGCATCCCCCTGCTCTACCTGCAGCAGGGCAGGTCGTGGGACAGGGCTGACCGTGCAGTTTGGCAGAGGTCAGACAAGGATCGGCCCAGGACTGACCCTGCCTCAGGTGGGGCTGGGACAAGACGTGATCTCCAGCGGTGCACGCTGGCCCGGCTGTACCGTGAGCCCGCGGCACGTTGTTCGCCCTGGCACAGGGTCACCCCGACTCCCGCGTGCGGAGGTGCAGGGCAGAGGCCTGTCCTGGAGCGGGACCCCGATTACTTGCATCTGAGCACAGACACCAACCCGAGACCTCCCACCTGTGCCCCCGCAACCCGGCAGCATGGCCCCAGCTCCACCGTGGCCGGCATTACTCCTCTGCCCCACGGCCTCGTCCCACAGCCGCTGGCTGGGGCGAGCAGACGCTGCCAGGCTGCAGGCCCGAGGCAGGGACTCTCGCCTGCTCTGCGCGGACACAGCACCGAGCCCAGCGCGGCCGCCCCACGCGGGAGGTCCCGGCCCTGCCACCGCAGGAGAAAACCGACCAATGCACACTTCAAATGCCCCGTGCAAAGGCACCAGAGCCTTTGCGGCACCGAGGGCCAAGCGCACACGAACAAGCAGAGCTGCTTGGGGGGGGAAAGGCTTCCAGAAAGTGGCAGGAGGGCGCTGCCCGGGCCTCAGCTCTGGCCACGGGGCTCATGGGCACCTAGGGCAGTGGAGCGGCTGGCCGTCCCACCAGCGGAGAGATCACTGTGGTCACAAGGCCCCGGTTGGACATCGCTGCCCGGGGGAACCGGGTTAGATGGAGACCTGACCGGTGGGTCCCTGGTCAGACAGAGCCTGGGGGAGCCCTCGGTCCCTGGCAATCTGGGCACTGCGTCTGGGCCGCGCCAGGCACCGGCCTTGTGCCCCAGCTGGAGCCAGCCCCGGCTGCGGCAGGAGACCGAGGTGCGACGGGGCCGGCTCTGGGCACGTGGGCACACTACCCTACGGCAAGCACCAGCCACCCAGAGCGAGATGCTCACGGAGCCTGGCCAGAGGGCTCGTCCCCTCCCTGCCCATTTCCCTGGTTGCGAAGCAGGGTGGTTTGTGCCGGCTCTGCTGGCAGCAGCACTTCCAGGGTAACTGCGCTGCAGAGCCCACCGAGCAGCAACGTGCTTCCTGGGCGATGCACTCCAGCACTGTGCCAAGCCCAGGGTGCTTTGCTGGGGCCATGATGCAGACCGGCATGTGGCCAGGGGCCCAGCCTGGCACCTCCACAGAAGGGGCAGGGGGGAGCCTCCCGTGGGCTGGGGGATATCAGGGATCTCTGTACTTCCCTCTGACATGACCCCTGCACCATTCGGCCTGGACCTGGCGCTCTTTGCCTTGCTCCCAGGGGGAGGCTGCCCCAGGCCACACGCCAGCTTTGCTCTGCAGCCTGACACCGAACAGCAGGTCCTCGCTGCGGCTGCCCACGCACCACACGGCACAGCCAAAAGCCCACGGCAGCAGGACGGTAACTCTGCCCATGCCCCCTCCCCTGCGCTCAGAGAACCGGGACCGTTTGCAAAGGGGGTTGATAGCATCACCCCACTTTACTTGCAAGGCAGAGAGAGGGGCACTGCCACACCGAAGGGGGACGCGGAGGGCTGGGCCCTGCCAGGACGGGGACCTGGCTCTCCTGACCCCCACCCGAGGCATCTGACTGCATGCAACAATCCCCCACGTTTGCCCCTCTCCATCCGGAGCCTGATCTCAGCTCCGAGCTCTGCTGGGCAGGAGATTTCCCCTCCTGGGCTTTCTGTGCAGCTCCCCGTGCCCTTTCTACCATGAAGCATCATCAACAACGACCCTAATAATGAACCTGGTTGCACCTCGGGCAGGGGACCTACACTTCTGTGGTTCAGAGAAGACTTCGGGGCTGCATCACGAGTGCTTCCACCAATGCAAAGCACCTGGTTTTCTGGGTGCAATAAAGCCTCACGGCACGAGAGGGCGCTGCGCGCCCACACGTTGCGCCGCGACAAAACCTGCTCTTCTCCGAAGTTAACGGTTACAAAAACAGTTGGGAAAAGAGACGAGCGAATGCACGAAACGACGGGACTGAGGACGGGGACGTTTGCTGCCGAGGCAACCGGGAAACGGGCCGGCTGCTGCCAAATCCAGAAGGTTCTTCTGTCTTTTGACATTTCGGGAAAAGCGAGGCATGGCGCAGAGCACGCGTGTAAAACCGTGCCCCGTGCAAAGGAGGATGTGTCAAGAAGTCACCGTCTTCAAGAATGCTTTTTAATTGGCAAACGTGTCTTCATTAATTTTACCTCAATGTCGGGATGTCGCAGCTAGCAATGCCAGCCCCGAGCTAAATAACCAATAAGCCTCATTTTTCAACACACAAACACATAAAGATGTCAGCTCAAACTGTTTACTAATTAACACTTAAAAAGACACAAATTAGATATGCGTGGCTAAGAGCAATTATAATCAAGACGAATTTCTCTAGTCATTTGGGAACTGAAAAAAATGCCTAATTGCTGGAACCAATGTTTTAAAAACTGAAATCATGCCAGTTAGCAAATATGTTCATTTAAAGAACATTTCATGTGACTACACTCTGGAGAATTGACTACAAACATGAGAACAAGGAAAAATATTTCTGTATAAAATTAAAATTTTAAGCTCTTCTAGATTTACAACTTCTTCATTCGACTGGTTTGCAAAGAGCAGCCTCTGCAAACTGGCAGCAATTAAATGGTTAAATGAACTGCCTCCTGTGTCAATTTTAAGAGTGATTAATATTAGTTGCTCACTTCACTCATTAGGCTCTCCTCTGAACGCCATGTCAAAGCCGAGGCTGAGGCGCTCTGGGTAGGCTCGGGCAGGGGCGGCGGCAGGCCGACAGCCGTAGCGCGCCGTGAACCGAGCGGCTGAACGGAGCTGGGACCTGCCAGAAACCGGCTCCGCACCGACGGGCACCCCCTCCGGCAGCGTGCCAGCTGGGACCTCCGCGTGACGGGGCACGCCGTGCAGGGACGCTCCCGGGCACAGACCCCACTCCCGACCTGAGCTCTGCTTCCCGCCGCCCTTGGCTGCCACTGAGTGCGAGCTCCGCGTGGCTTGCATGGCCGCCCGCCAAGCGTCCGTGCAGCACCCGGCACCGGCGACCGACGCTGCCATCACAACAGCCCCGCTTCCGCTGGCTTTCCCAAGGGACCGAGGAGAGGCGGCTCCGCCGTCCCCGCCTGAAGCACGGCTGGGACAGTTGGCAAATGCCAGGACATAAAACGATGGAGCCTGGAATTGTCTGGGAGCGCGCCTGCATGGCAGGCAGCCCCAGGGACACCCATCTCTCCCTACCCTGGAAATCCAGCACATTTGCTTTAATGGAGCTATTGCTTGCAAGGGAAATAAAGCTACACAGAAATTCACAATATTTATATGCATCTCTGTACGCAGACACGATGCTTCATCAAGGAATACAGGCTGCCTAATTAAACTTCTCATGGCTCTGTCATGCGCAGCCTGTGATGGGGCGAGGGGGTGCGGGGCGAGCCAGGCGGCACTCGCTGCTCACAATCCTTGCAGCGCAAGGGAGGGACGAGCCTGTGCCCCCTCGCTCCGCCTGGACCCGGGCAGCGACTGCTGACAAGCGGCTACCGAGGTCCCGGCTTTGGGACAGCGCTTCTGGCAGGAGACCGCACAGGGCAGGGCACCGAACACCTCCTTAACCTTTCTCTCTGGCAAGAAGCTACCGCAGGGGCTCGGGCACGGGGCCGGGGGAGCAGCCACACCACCATCAGCACCAGAAGCCTGGGGGTTTGCTGCATGGTTCGATGCTTCCTGCTTTCCGTCCCGGCGCAGATTCGCCTCATTGTGGAGGCCCAAGCACAAGGCTTGGGCCCAGCCCTATTCCCCTTGCACCGGGAATCTTGCACGGAGCTGTTGTGGAAAGGGCCTGAACACACGCTCTTGAATGCCACCCACCTGCGAGCGCCCAGACGAGTGCCTGGGACAGAACAGGCCTCCAGGCTCGCACTGCCCGTCAAGTCTCCAAGGGACGGGAGGAGCTAGGAAACCCCCCAGCCAGGTCTCGGGGCTCACCCCCTGCTGCATCCCTGGGGCAGGCAGGCGCTTAGGCTGGCTGCACCATGACCTGCTTTGCCTGAGGATCTTTCTACTTGGAAACGGGGTCACCGTGACCATGGACGCCAGCAGGAGAAGGCCCACGGCCCCACAGGGCAGAGCTGGGTTGAAGCCTCTGGCCTCTGCCACATAGTGCCTGCCTTCTGATGGGATGCAAGACGCCCGCTCCCCTGGGACGACCGCACCAGGGAGCTCACCCAGCGCGCGCGGGGTCAGAGCGAAAGGCACTTGGCACCACTCGAGGGGAAACTCTCACGGGAAGTGGCGGCACTGATGTGGCCCTACCACGTTCAGCTTGGAGACGAACGCTGGTCTCAAAAGGGAGCTGCCTTGTGCGTCAGGCTATTTCGCACCTCTGGGGCAGAGCCCGCGTGCCCTAAAACGTGGCCTCCAGAGACAGCCCAGGCACAACGCTCCGGTGGCTCCCGGGGTCCCGTCTCTCTCCTGGAAGCGTCTGTTCACTACAATCCCAGCCAATCTGTCCTGATGACAAGCTACCTTCACCATCAAGCTGAAAATTATGAAGCAGTTTCCCTTGCGCTGCTTAATCAAGTTCAATTGCTTCCTGAAATCTAAGAGGCAGCCTAATGCAAACTGTGCCCTGTTTGGAGCAAGCACCTGGTCGGTTAATAAGTGAGAAAGAGAGGTTAAATAAAAGAGACGTCTGGAGGTGGATGGAGGGCAACAGATTCTGCTACGAGAACCGGAGCTTAAAGCTTCTTCAGCTGGCACAAATCACAGAGGACGTTTGTAATTTTGAGCTTACTCTCGGCCTTCCCTTAATGTCGACTTTCTCCATCACCGGTGACATGGGGAAGCAAGCCTGAAACCTCCCCCCAGCGAGAGAATCGCACAGCTGAAGAGCCCGGCCTAGGGCTTATTTTCCCTGCTGAGGAGGGAAACTTACCTCCTTCTCGATTTCGGTCAGGGATTTGATCGTGATGCCCAGGAGATCGACTTGCTGCATCTGAAAAAACCCCAGAAACAGCCGTTCAGATGTTAGAATAATTCAGCAAACGGATTCTGTCTCCCCGGGGGCGGAGAGACCCCATCCCACACGCAGTCCCGCTTCCTGATGCACCGAGACCAGGCAGAAGCACGTGGACAAGGCCCTCGGTGCCTGCCCTGCTCACTCGCTGGGGTCACCTGCCATTTGGCACAGGGCTTTTGAAAAAGGCAAGTGTTTGTTTCCTTGCACAGGGCTGCAGCCGCCGTAACCACTGGTGGGGCTACAGGCACGAGCAGTGAGCGGTGGAAAACCCTGACCACATTGACCATACGGTGGCAATGGTGTCTAAAGAATGTGAAGGAAGGATCCACCTGAACTAATCGTACTCTGCACGTGTCCTAGCAGCTTCCTGGGCCTGGCATCACAGCACCAGCGGTCCCTCTCGGCCAGACAGCCAGGCCAGAAAAAGCAGCACCCGATTTTCCAAAACTTCTGGTTTGTTTTCTCTACGATTACAGAGAAAAGTAACAAGGTGCGAAGCTGAGGGGCAGGATATGAAGACAAGGATGCAGCGCAGCCCAGATGTAAAGAGACCTTGGCTGAACAGTTTGATGGACAAGAGGACAGGGGATGGGTGTGGAGCTTCCCATCTCTGTGCTGCGGTTGCAAACTTGAGCGCTGCCTCAAGTCTGTCAGCTGGACCACGAATCAGGTCCCTGACGAGGTGTCCACAAAGGTTGTTCTGGCACAAGGGACCCAGAAGCCCCCCTACAGCCATGACCCCAGGCTGAGCAGGACACAGGCAATCTACCTTTCGAAACAGATCCAGCTGCTGTTTAGGAAGCTGGGGAAGAGCATCGCACGGCCATTCTCCGTGCTGCAGCTGGGCTGGGCTGGGCTGGGCTGTCTCGAGGGCTGCCCTGCAGACCCTTTACCCGCACTCAGTTCCTCACACAAACTATCTGACCATCTTCCGGACAGGGAAGCACAGCCTGGCAGCGTGCACCCCCTCCAGCCAGAGGGCACAGGACTCCGAACACTTTCCTAGCCCTGCTCGTGTTGGCTGGAGCCCCGCGGAGTCCAGCTGTTGTATCATTAGGACACAACTTCCCCTCTACCTTTCTAGATGGGGGTGGGAAGCCAGACAGCAAAGCCATGGCAACCCTGCTAAGTTGGGTTGGCTAAAGTTACTTGTGCTCCACGTGCAAGATCACGCATGTTTTTCAACAGGAAGCAGCTTCCAGAAAGACTGGAGCAATGCAGGCTACATTTCGTTAGGACGGAGACACCAGGCAGGGCTCCTCTTCAGAGGCAGGACCGGATCTGCGCTTCTGGGGCATCCAAGAGGCACGAGGCGCTGGTTGTCAATTGTAATGAAGATACGGATGGAAACTGGAAACCGCTTCACACTGCTGCTGGGGCAGCATGAGGCCAGGCCCAGAAGACCGTGGAAGGCCGCCAAAGAGGCCTCCTTTTTGTGCTGGTCTGACCACACCGACATGCTAATGGTGCCACAGAGACCGATGCAACGGGGACGTGGTTGCAGATGCCTGTGCAGCTGGAACAAGGGCTCGCCACCCTCAGCAGCGTCAGGGACAGGAGGGACGAGCAGCACGGCACTAGCTAACTTCCAGGGAGTGAGTGACCACAGAGCAGCAAGCACCGGTCTGTCCTTTGTACTGCTCTGAACTTCTGGGGTCTGGAAAGAAAGCAATAGTCTGGTGGGCACAGTGCCACCGCTACGGCAGGGAGGAACAAAAGATCTGGATGCCTGGACTTGGGAACCAGACACTCGCTGTTTTGTTTAAATATACAGGAAGAAAGTATGACTGCAGCTGGTGCTCTCCTCCAAGAGCCACATGACCACCCTTGTCAGGCAGCTGAGGCTGGGGCTCGCCTAACGGAGGAACGTGCTTTTGGCAAGGTTCAGATGAAGCCACCTGTGTGCCAGAGAAGAGCGCTCCCGGGCGCACTGCAGACATGGAGGGTATGCACGAGTGCTACGCACCCGTCGCAGCCCACTGCACAGGCGTGACGAGTGCCTGCACCTTGTGAGGACCCCCACGCCCGCGAGGGTGACAGTGCAGGTAACCTACCGCTTCCGGAGCGCAGGCAAACTTCTCGGAAATCATGAAAGGCACGCCGTCCATGGCTGGAAGAGAGCACAGGGAGAGAGGCTGTGAGCACTACAGGAGGGAGGCTCCATAAACAGTCCAAGGATTAGTGACACCAGCTTCTGACAAGTGTCCCGGTAAGGTACTCCCAGCTGGGGCAGGCCTGTCTGCAAACTCCCCTAACTGCACTGCCAGTCCAATGACGGCACGCGCCACCATTTCACCCAGGTGCCAGGAATAGAGGTAATACCCCCAATCTATTTGTCCACATGTGCAAGTGTATAGAGCAAGTTTTGTGAAGCCGTTCCCAATCCAGCTGGTCTTCATACAGAACCAGCCTCAAGTGTGGCAGTGTTTAGAGCCGAGAACAAATGCAAAGGCTTCTTCAAAAGGACAGACTTCCCTTTGCCACTCGCTGCGTAATAACGGCCTGCATGTGAACTGCTCTGTAGCAGGAACCCCCCTCAGCCGATCTGTTTCCCTACTGAGAGGGTAAGCAATCGCTGGGTTCGAGGACAAGATGGCTCTTGTCTCCCCAGAACAAAGCACCAGTCTTTGCACAGACCAGCTGACACAGGGAGGGGTCCGGTACGAGGGTCAGAAACTTTTGGGAGTTCCTTAAAAACACACCCAGCACAGACACACCCAGAGCACAGCACAGTGCAGCACTAGGGAGGAAATGATGGAGAAATGACCTCTCTTTGCCAGCCTCCTACTGATGAGGACAAGAGAGAGCAAGCAATAACGCACACGTACGAGACAGGCAGCTGGAGACAGCTACTCACGACAGCGAAGCAACAGAGACCCAAGGACTGGGCCAGCCCCGAGCCCCAGACGCCTGGCATCACCCAGCTGACACGCAGCAGACCCGGCCTACCCGTGGCATCCCGTGTGCTTCCCAAAGTGCCCCAGCACACGTGAACTGGCTGATTTCGAAACCTGCAGCTTTCAGCACCTTCTGCAGAGCTGCCTGGAAATGCCCAGGCCCTGGCCAGCGCACGCATCTGGGACAGGCTTTGTGGCTACTCCACGCCTGCCAGCCTGCTGCACCCAATCTCTCCAGATTCCACCCTTGGGAGAAATAATCCCCTCCAGTGCATTTTTAACCCTTTAAACTGTTCTCCCCTTAATCCCCAAACAGGTCATTGTGCCTGGCGATGCCTTTTGAACATCCCTGCACCTCTGCTTCCAGTCCCGCCGAGGAGTTCAGGTCACGGATCTCGTGGGACTTAGGCTCATTCACGAATTTGCACATTTCATGCCGAGGGCCCGTGGCTCATGGTGCGCGGGCGCCTCCCCTTCCCAAGGAGAGTGCTGCGTGTCAGCCAGCACGGCAGCACGACAAGGCACCGGGCGCAGCCGCGCCACGCAGCGAAGGCAGCTCCGGAACCTGTAAAACCAGACCGGCTTCCCACCGCCGACGGCCGCTCCGATCGCTTGCACGCTGGCTTTTGTAAAGAGTCAGAGAAGGAAATCCAAACGGGGGCAGGCTCTCTCTCTGGCACCAGCAAAACACGCACAGAACCACCATCGGGCTCCGTCAGCCTTTGTGGCCGGCAGTGCTAACACAACGCTGATACACAGCGCAGAACAACACACGGTGGATGAAAGCAAGGATGTGCCAAAGGCTCAGTAGCGCAATTAGCATTCTCCTAAACAAACGAGCTTCAACAGAGCTGTAATTAAGCAGGCCTGTAATTAAGTATATGCCCTTTATCATAACGATCATGCTTAAAAATGGCATGATGCATGGAAGTGTGTTATTAATGCTGTAATCCCAAAGTGAAGGGAACGTACATAGGAATCAGCATGTCAGGCCCGTCACCAGACTGTTTGTAAAATACATTAAAGGGAAAAATCAGAAAACAATGAGCTCATTCAACTGTTCTTTTTATAGCCAGGCACTAGAAGTCAAGAGGATTTTAAATACTTACTGATTCAGGGAACTTTAAACAAATAAAGCACTGAGCTGTCACCGCCAGCTCCCTCCACCAGCCCTGCTCCGGCAGGGACAGGAGAAAGGAAAAGGCTTTTTCCTGCCAGCCCCACTACCTGCGCTCGCTGCCAAGTGCAGATGCCTGGAGGGGCCCCGGCCGGGCTGTGTAACGAAACCCGCTCAGACGCCGAACGAAGCCTTGCCGAGGCAGGCAGGCAGTCTGTGGGACGTGGAAGGGCGACTGCTCAGGCCCTTCTCCTTGCTTCTGAGTAAACCTGGGCCCTGCCAACGCAAACGCTGCAGTGGACATCCCCAGAGCTCCCACCTGCCTCAGCCCCAGCCCCAGCCCCAGCCCCACTGCTGCAGCTGGTTGCAGACATGTCAAGGCTGGCACCCTCCACTGCAGGGCACCAGGACAGAGGGGCTCCAAATGCCAGGGCTTTCCAAGACATCTTCACCAAACCAGCATCACGAGTGCTTGGCAGTTCTGGGGCGGAGGAGACCGCATCTCCTTTTTGGAGCATGAATCCAACTGACTGCCAGCAAGCTGAGTGACCAGGGGAGCGCCCACCCCTGCCAGTGCAGCGCAGTATGGGTCACTCGAGCAGTAATCGCTGCACAGCACGTGCGGAAGAGTTGGGAGACCGGCAGCCTCTCTGCTGTGGTGGTGTCTGGTTTGGGGGCAGTCATGCCGAGAGCATCTTGGGGAAACCGTGCTCAGCAACGATGCACAGGAAGCCAGCTACTGGCACAATCAAGTCAAATGAAACCAGAACCAGAGGAGGCTTTCAGTCCCCTGCTTTGCATCGTCAGCTGCCTTTGGTTTTCTTCTCCTGCTGCTTCTTGCAGCTCTCGGCAGTCTCTGGCGGGAGAAGTGCTGCGTGCAGGCTCTGCCCAGCATTAGCATCCTGACCCTGCTTGCAAAGTCCGCTGCCCGCGCCTGGTGCCGCATCCTGCGGTAGCTGCTTCCATTGTCCCAGGAAAGGCTCAGTGCTCCTCAGAACCAAGCTGGGCTACATATGGGAGTAGACGCATGCCATGACAAACGGGGAAAGCCTCTCTTTGACACTACAGGTCCTTACCCCATAATCCAGAGGGGACAAGGGCCAGCTTCCGTCCACACTGTGCCTGCGGTGCAACCCTGCCTCACACTCAGCAGCATCCCCATCGTTTTAAGGGATACAGGTTCAAAGTAAAGAATACCGTAATGCCCACATTGCATAACCCTGTTCCTACACGCATCTGGATGGTGTGAGGTTGGGCATCTAAAAGCAAGAGCAACTAGTAGAGAGGAAAAGGAAGGTCCCCACAAATCCTGCCCTGCTGCACATGGGAGACGCGGCGACTTCACTTCTGGCTTCTTCTGTTAAATGTTTGCTCAATCAACATATGGGCACTTGACAAGTGATGTCCACCCCTCAGGCGAACGGCTGGGCTCCAGCCTCGCACGGACCGGAATCTCCCCCCGTGCATCCGTGCAACGTTGTCGCGGGAACCCCGTCTTTGGAAACCGTCTTTTTCCAGCATCGCACGGGCGAAGCCCTTGACAATCCTGCTTATTTGCAAAGTTCTTCAAATTTCTTGAACAATTAATTTTCCTTTGCTCTCCTCTTAGTCTCCCAGAGCACTGTCCACTCTGACAGGGCTGACCCAGATCTTACACACTTCTTTGGCTCACTCTTGTCAGAATTCACCTAAAAAAGTCAGATATCAGCTGCTGGAGTCCGTTCCCAACCAGCCTTCTGCTGAAGGGCTCATCTCAACTCATAAACAATGGAAGAAAAGATCTAACAAATTATAAGTGTCAGCAAAACCCTAAGAATGAATTAATGTCCAGGACTCCTGGATAATTACTACTATATATAATGTTGAGTATTTCAAATACAGACAGACAGACCTTAAATAGAGCTTATGCTTGGGTATTTCTACTTTCAGCTCTTCATCCTAAGTCTACCAAGGAAAAAAATTCATCGCCTTTGAGATGACATTGAAGCAAGAAGGTACAGGTAAGGTAGCCTTGTCCGAGACTAATGGAGGCCTACGTTATAAACAGCTGATGCAGGGACCAGCTATCCACTGGAATCAGATCTATGATAAGTAACCAGCAATATTTAAAAATAAGACTCCTCACACACATCTCCAAGTCTTCACATTAAATATACTAAGTGTCAGGCCAAACGATTTACTATGGAGATGCCAGTCTTGCTCCGGCATAAACGGTGGGAATCCCTGGGGTTCCACTCGCACGAATACAGCTGCTGCAGGGGCCTCACACGGTGGTTGGTGGGCGACAGGCGATATCGCGACCATTGCAAGCACGACACGGAAGTGGGTCTCCAGAGACTAGAATAGAAACTTAACTTTTACAGGAGATGCCTTCCTGTGTTTCTCTGGAGACCTCTCATTCATTGCACCAGCTTTTCCCCTTCCGTCATGGCATGTTAAGTCCATGGGGAAAGCTCCCAAGAAAGACACCAGATGCACCCAGCGAGCTAGGAAAAGCAAACAAATGCAGCGATGGATCCTGCACACCAGAAGCACCTCTCGAAGAACCAACGTGGGCCTGCAGAAGCCAGTTCTGCGATCGATAAGCTCTAGCCAGGAGGGCTGTTCTTCCTGGGGATCTCCAGAACCGCCCTGTCGAGTTCCTCCACCACGAAACGCATGACGACAGAGCGCACAGAATGGAGATCGCTCTTTGAAATCCTGCAGCGCTCTCAGCAGAGGTGTGAAATCCACAGCAACCCTGTGCATTTGAACGGCACGGTAAGAGCGCCTCAGTGCCGAGATCTGACAATGATCCCGCACATATCAGTGTGCAAAGCACCTGGAGCGTTCTCGTCTACCCACAAAGAACCGCCGCACGGGCTGCAGCAGTGCAGCTCCCCCGGGCCTGGCTGTGACACTGGTCGTGCAGCATCCCTGGTCCCTGCAGATCTTTCCGTTCATGCTGGGAAAAGGTCCCCAGACTGGGACGGTTATTTCACCAACATCTCGTGGCTCTCCTGTCCTGGACTGAACCCAAGGCTGTTCACACACTGGTGGCCTCCAAGCAGGTGTGCAACTAGCCGCAAGGACTTTCGCTCGCTCCTGACCACCTGT